GTACATGCACATAAGCAGGACATCCAAAAATCCGTAAATGATCAAATTTAACTGGATTACCTGTCCATACCTCTTCTGCGACCTTGCAACCCAATGATGCTCGAGGTGATCTATTGTAAAGATACCATGTCATATTCACAGCCTCTGCCCAGAAACTCTTAGGAAGTCCTGCATTCAATCTCAAGCATCTTGCCCTTTCAGCTATCTCTTTCAGCTATGGACCTGTTCATCCTTTCTGCCACACCATTTTGCTGTGGTGTCTTCCGCACCGAAAAATGCCTCTGAATCCCATGCTTCTCACAAAATTTCTGAAACTGTGAATTTGTGTACTCTGTGCCATTATCGGACCTCAAATACTTGATCTTTCTGCCAGTTTGGTTCTCCACCTCAGCTTTCCACAGCTTGAATTTAGAGAAAACTTTAGATTTCTGCTTCAAGAAATACACCCAAACTTTTCTAGAGAAATCATCAATAAAGATAACGAAATACTGGGATCCTCCCAATGACAACTCCCTAGTAGGGCCCCATACATCAAAATGCACATAATCAAGGATTCCTTCAGTTTTGTGCTTTCCAGTCATAAAACTGACTCTAGTCTGTTTTCCAAGAATACAAAACTTACAAAGATCGAGCTTGCAGCTTTTAACTCCATGCAACAGATTACTTCTATGCAATTCCGCCATCCCACGTTCACTGAGATGACCCAAACGCATATGCCATAGCTTTGTACTGTCATTATCTGACTCCACAGAATGAACGCCACCTACAACTGTACTCCCTAACAGTCTGTAGATATTACCTGCAGTCAGCTTTCCTTTCATCACCGTTAGTGCACCCTTAACAATTCTAATGGTTTCCATATCCTCATCAGCGTTAGGAATAAAACCATTTCTGTGTAGAGTGCCCAAGGAAATCAAATTATTCTTCAGATCTGGAGTATGTCTGACATCACATAACGTTCTGTGTCATCATACATCTGAATTCTGACTTCTCCAATACCAACTATATTGCAGCATCTATCATCACCCAAATAGACTGAGCCAGAATTAGTTGACCTGTATGAAGTGAAACACTCCCTGTTAGGTGTTATGTGATAAGAGCATTCTGAATCAAGAATCCATGCATCCGTGAACTGAGTTGATGAAACTGAGAGCATATCACCATCACTGCAATCTGAATTTTCATGCTGCGCCACAGAAGTATCACTCGATGAAGTATCACTTTTCTCCCCAGTCTGCTTCTTCAGCTTTGGACAATCTCGCTTCATTTGACCTGACTCCATGCACTTGTAGCAATGAATTGTCTTTTTGCCTTTGGACTTGGATCTGGAATTTTGCCTTGCAAAATGCTCATTCTCTTTCTTCCTTCCACGATCCTGCTTACCCTTAACATATAAACTATCGCCGTGAGAGCTATCCCCTGCATTCTGCTTCCGCTGGTTGTGAGCCAACAACGCTGTAGTAATCTCATCACTTTAATAGTCTCTTTCCCATATGTTAGAGTAGTCACCAGGTGTTCATAGGAAGAGGATAATGAACACAACAAAATCATCGCTCGATCTTCATCCTCAATACTCAGATCAAGTCGTGACAGGTCTGTGATTATTTGATTGAAGCCATTAACATGCTGCGCCAGATCAGAATCTTCCTGCATCTTTAGCCCATACAACTTTTGCTTCAGATACAACTTGTTTGTCAGAGATTTAGCCATGAATTGAGTTTCCAATTTCTTCCAAACTTCTCCTGGAGATTTCAGATTCATCACGTGATACATAACTTCATCTCTCAGGCATAAGCGTATCGTCGCTGCCACTCGCTGTTGCAATTCTTCATCTTCCCAATCTTCTTCTTTCATGGTATCTGGTTTTGCTGCCCGCAAAGCCTTCAAGATTCCATGTTGCGCCAACAGTTCTTTCACCCTGGTTTGCCACAATCTGAAGTTACCAGTTCCGTCAAACTTCACCACCTCGAATTTTGCACCAGAAAAAATCATTCGAAAATTGATCCTGCAACAAAACTTTTTGCAAAAAAATTTCCTCTGCAAAAATCCTTATTTAGAATTTGTTTTTTTTAGAAAAGAAAAAATGAAATTTATTCTTAATTAAGCTTCCTTAATCAAGACTCCCTTAATTAAAATATTAGCTTTAATTAACAAATTTAAGAAAAAAACTTTCCTTCTTTCTCCAAAGCCTATCCGCTGAATGAAATTGGATGCTGATCGCGATCTTCCAATTCTGCCTCGAGCTTTCCGATTCCAATTTCCAATTCCGCCTCCAACAGAATTTTCAGAATTTAATTCGGAACCTATATTCCATGCAAGAAAATTTTCATGGAAACATTCCTTCTTGCTCTCCGCAAAAACAACAAAGACAATTTTGCAATTCAAGCGAAATTTGTGAGAGAATATTCCTCTCCGGATTCCTCTCCAGCAAAGAATCAAATTTCGCAGATCTCCCTCCTGGAAATTCGCTTCCTTCCTTTCCTGAAATCCGAACCCAGCAGAAAATTATTTCCCGGACGGAAGGAATGTTGTCCAGCAGCAGCGTCGCTTGTCTCTACGCCTCGCCTATCTCCGGACACAAAACTTCAGGACTGGTCAAAAAATCAGATCGCGAGCCCTTCTGCTAGCCGGCGAACCGCAAACAGGAACTTCACGAACAGCTTCGCGATTCCGTCTCTCCCGCCTTCCGTGATTCTGACAGCAGTATGGTCCACACGCCTTCCGCCCTTCCGAAGCCTTCCGCACCGCGAACCTCTCTGCCGCGATCCTTCTGTTCGCGAATCCACGCGATCCGCCGCGATCGAGAGTCTTGCCACGAACTCCCTCTCCTTCGACACTGTCGATCTCCTCTGCCCTTAAACCTTGGTTTTGATACCACTTGTTGAGAAAATAAGGCGAAGAAAAACAGTAACCACACAAATCCAGAAGAACACAAATGTTTAATGAGGTTCGACAAAGATGCCTACGTCCTCGGGAGCAGAGCGGTGCAGAGCGGTGAGCGGTGAGTTCCTTTCAATATTCAGAAAAGGGTTTACAGAAATCAGGGATACCTCATGGGGTTACTAACATGCCTATTTATAACCCCCGGAGTAAACCTAGACACAACATGTAATTCCAACATTACCCCTGTACCAAACCGCGGGGCTTTGCTCCCGCACCCTAACCCACGTAACTTCCCAATTTGGACAGATTCTTCCGCTCCGCTTCGATCCAGCGTCTGTCCCGATATGATATATGAGTCATACCATATATCTATATATAAAATAAAATAAAATTTTAATGAAAATATTGTAATTGCCAACGGATTCATGATCCATTTACAATTGGCTAGCGTGTTTGGTACAGCTGGCTAGCGTGTTTGGTACAGCTAAAAAAAGAGTGATGCCATTGTTTTCCTTTTGCATACACAAAGCATGATTTTTCAATACAATGCAACAAAGTTGTCCAATATTTAAAGATGTAAAAGTGTCAAAATTTTCCAGTATAATAAGAACAAAAAAGTCCAAACCATTTAATCAACGAGGGACAATTTAATTCTATTTTTGTAATTTAAATGTGAAATAAAGTAAATGCGGGCTTAAACTTTTAAACACTCAAGTCCTAAGCTCGGCTAAATCTTTTGATAGGTAACAAAGATCAAATAATATTAGTGATGGAAGAGAAAGAAGTATGCAGCTAAGCAAAGCAAGTTTAAGCCAGGCTGTAGATGCACTAAGTTTATCCTGCAAGTAAGAAAAAGATGTAATTAGCTTACAACAAAACTAATAAATTAGCCCGAACAAACAGGACTACATTTGGATCTACACGTATCATTCTTTGTTTAGGGTTTAGCTCACAAATTCTTAAACTGCATGATTTGCAATTTATTACCTGAAATGACATATTCAGAAGCAGGCGGGGGGGAATATATATCCTTCGGCAGTCGCATTGCCGACATGTATACAGGTACTGAGAGGCACGGTCGGCAACATGCCTGGGCTGGGAGGCATAGGCCTTAAGTCGATGTCCTTCAGCTTGATATCGCATGGAACCGTAGAACTGCACAGGAGGTTGATTGCTACGTCAGTTGCTGAAGTACCCCTTATCTTCTCGAAGGTCACGCCGCTGATCTTAACCCTGGAAGGTGGCTGCGTATATGGAGGTAATGGAGTTATACGTCAGTACATGTTCGAAACCATGCAAATTATAATAGTGAACCTCAACTTCGGAGCTTAATTTCTGGAAGGTATGTTTAAATTTTTGAGTTTTTAATTCCTATTTAGTTGCTTGAATTTCAAAAAAATGTTTCTATATAGTTTGGTTATATATATATAATTTCACGTCAATAATGATTTTGCATAATTGGTGCGCTCACATCTTCAATACATACATAAAGACTAAAAAGTTAGAAAATAACATCATTTTCTAAAATATGTTCACTTAATAACAAAAAAATCTAACTTATCCAAAAAATCAGCTCAGAATACTTTGAACGAGTCTTAATTAATGCTCTTAAATTCCTTACGAGGTATTAATTGTATAGGGATCACTTCAATTATTGTAGAAATTAATTGGATGGTATGCTATAATAATGAAGTCAATCACTTTAAAGTTGAATGACTATTTGGGGTTTAGTAACTTTACTCTTTGATTATTGTTATAACTGAAGAGGATTGTAATGCTACTTAGTTATATGCAATGTATATATCTATATATTGCATATAACTAAGAAGCATTACAATCCTCTTCAGTTATAACAATAATCAATATATATTAATTATTTCCAAACTATATTAATTTATCTCATTTTGGTTTAATGTTTAAAATTTGAGTGTGTGTGTACTATTTTCCTAAAAATTATAGACCACATGTAAATTTTTATTTGGTTATGAGTTTATTACCTTGTCATCATCACAAGTACCAGGGCAATACTCTTGATCTATGATGATCGGATTCTCGACCTCCTCCATCACAATATCATAAAAGCGTAAGTTGGTAGCGTTGATTGCCGGTGAATCCCTCCATGTCTTGATCCTGACGCCATTAGTTGTTCTCGAGAGCGTGCAATTCGTCACATAGATCCCATCAACGCCCAAATCATACTTATACTTGCCCAAACTCCCAACACTTATTCCATGGCCTGGCCCGCAGAACACATTTCTGACAGTCACATTTTTGCTTCCAGAGCCAATGGAGATGCAGTCGTCGCCGCTACCAATCGTAGAATTTTGGATTTGAACATCTATTGACTCACTGATATGGATGCCATCCGTGTTGGGACTGTTGCCTGGGGCACTTATATTGATGCTTTTGATCGTAACGTGGGCTGACTGGCCGACAAGGACGTGGAAGAACTTGCTATCTGTGAAAGAGATTGACTGGAGATGTGTGTTGGTCACGCTCATCAACTTAAGGGACTGTAATATGATGCAATTTAAAATTTGTAAGTAATGATATCTCTTAAAAGAGAATTGTAGTGAGATTACGCTTCAATACATATGAGGACAACAATAAATTTTTTTAAGCATGGAAAGCATACAATAAATTGAATCATAAAGAAAAGAAATGTAAAATGAAGTTATAAAAATAGTCGCTAGAAATTTTTTAAAAATAAGCTAAAAAATAGTTAAAGTAAAAGGTCTTGCAATGACCAATGGCACGTCAAACCGAACAACTAAATTATGAGTAGTAGATCTCCAGTAAAGATATTTATAGAGATGTAGAGAGCCATGAAGCTTCCATACAGTTGTTTTGTAATACATTTGCAATTATAGTATTAGATGAGATGTAAAAGAGGTGAGTGGATCAGACAAGAGAGAAGAGGAAATCAGGTGGAGAACAAAAGAGGGGATGACATAAATTATGGGTTGGGTGAGCAATTGTAATTTAGTTTTTCTAAGGCCTCCAATCAAATACCATAAAGTTTAAAATTCAAGCAAATGGAATATTATATAATCCTAATATATACTTCAATGAAACAAACTTAAGTGATACAAAAAATCCCATGCATTGTTGTATCGATGTTAATGATCCATCTTTCAGAGTGATATTGAATTTGTGCATTGGCATGCATGCTTTCCTTGCCTTATAGTATTCAGGCATAGATCATATAAGCAATTTCTATTTATAAAAAAAGTGAATGATATTGATATATAATACATAATGACAAATGATTTCCTATTAAAGTTCTATAAGAAATTACTTATAGGAATTTTTTTTTATAATATTCATCTGAGGTGACCTGAAGATTTACTTAAACAATATTATTTTTTTTCATAAATGAATAACTATTTTTTCTTAGGTGGAAAATAATTTAACAATGTTTTATTAATTATTTATCACAGAAATGAAAAATGATTCTAACATCCTCTAAGGGTCTGATTGAATGGCTCATATATTATTTCAAAAATAAATGTATTTTTTCATATTTTCATATTGAGAACACACAATAAAAAAAAAATTGTTGAAAATATATGAAGAGAAGATGGAAAATTTTATTTCTAAACATTGCTCAATTGTTTTGAGTTTACATGACAAGATCATAGTTATGCCTATTAATAAACATGGGAGGCTAAATCAATAAATTTCTAAACTCTCACACTTCATTCTAGAAAAATATGCTCTAGATTCTTCGTAATTAAATATTGTAGAGAATTCTCATTTAATATAAATATCCTAGAATCTTAAATTTAAGATTAGAGTGAACACTCTAAATAATTGGAGAAATGAGCTTTAATCTTATCATTCACCCTTGATGTAAATTTTGATTACTTAAAGGATTTTGTGTCACAGTTTACACGTTCCTCTTGGAAGTACCTTTTGTGAATATGTCTGTAAATTTTTTGTCACTCTTTACATTAATGCTCGAGTTTTATTTATTGATTAGTCTGAACGTCTCTAGTGAAATGATATTTGATACCAATATGTTCAATTATGCAATGAAATATATGAAATTTGCCTTTATTATAGCGAGTTTATTATCATAATAGATTTTTATAACTCATTTTTATGGCTTGCCCATATCTTATTGTACGTATTGTACCCATGGGACCTGCCTTGCAGTTGTGAGAGCCCAAATATATTCAACTTCAGCCGATATTTGTGCAATGGTTGCTTGTTTTTTCGTGCCAAAAAAATCATAAATCTAATGTGAATGCATAAGATAAAGTGCTCTTCATGTTATCAACTATTCCGATCCAATTAATATCATTATATTCAACAATTCTTGAATTAGGAATTGATTCATACCAGATGTCATATTTCTTCGTTCCTTATAAATATCTAAGAACTCTCTATGTGCTCCCTGATGAAATTCACTTGGATTTGCATAAATCATGAGAGTAGACTTGTTGCATAAATGAATATATTTGATAAACTAATTGTCACATAAAGTAAACTTCTAATGAGACTTTGATAAAATGTGTTGTCTGGTTTAGGTGCATCATCGACCTTCATAAGTGTCGTTTTGTCTAATAGAGTAGTTACTATTTAGGAATTGTTCTTCTTAAACATTTTAAAGAGATTTTATTTATATTTCTTTTGTGTGATGAAATTACCCCTTTAATTTTAAATTACTTATATCTCAAGAAATATATCAGGCCTAAGTCGATCATCTCAAAAGCATTCATTTTCATGTCTTCATTAAAAAATTAGATCATCTTATCATTATTTCGTACATAGATAAGATCATCTGCATAGAGGAAAACAATGAAAGTGTAGCTCGTACCTTAAATCTTGATGTATAATGTTGGCTCTTTTTGGCTCCTTCGAAGCATTGTTCTATGAAGTAGATGTCAATTTGACTATACCATGCTTTTGAAGCTTGTTTTAATCCAATGAAAGCCTTCTTAACTTGATAACTATGTGTTCTTGAGCTTGTACTATAAATCATGAAGGTTGTTTTGCATAGATCTCTTTTTTTAAGTAACCATTTAAGAATGTAAATCCAATTTCTTTTTGATATATCTTCCACTTAATTTGTACTACAAGTATAATTAATGCTCTTAATGCTTCTTGTCATCCAACTGAAGTAAAAGTCTCATTATAGTCAACTTCAAGTTATTCTAAGTATTTCTAAGAAACTAGCCTAGCATTATATTTTTTAATTGATTTATTAGGATTGAGCTTTATCTTGTAGACTCACTTAAATTCAGATATCTCTTTTTCTTATAGAGAGTCCACTAGCTCCCATGTCTTATTTTCTCGATCATCTTTATTTCTTCTTTTATAACTTTTCTTTATACTTCATACATTGAGGCTTTTTCGAATCTTTCTGCCTCCATGATTGTCAAGTTGTAATGTGCATATCTGTCTGTTAGATAATTTGTTCTTCTAAAAGGTGAATTAAGAGATTGATTAATATAGAGCTTGTCTGGCTATTTTATAGGTGCTTGTGTTAGTTATCCTTGTTGTCTCTCTTCAACTTGTTGATGTATTATTAACAATATTTTAACACTTCTTCTTTCAATATTTTCTATCTTCTAGTTATGTGCAGCGTCTTCATTAAACTTGAAATCTTAGCTAATAAAAATCTTGGCTCATAAAAATGTCCCCTATTCATAAGTTATAGACTTGCTATCTTTTAAATTGAGCAACATAGCCAAAGAAAATTTTATTTTCTATCTTCTTATCTCATTTACTCCTTTTCTCATATGTAATATGAACATAATAAAAATAACCAAAGACTCTTACATGCTTTATGAATGGCTTCTTTCCATTATAAGCTTCAATTTGTGTGTTATTATTCACTGTTTTAGTTAGCCATATAGTTTATTGATAGACTTCAATATATACAACCTCTACCAAAAACTTTTTGGAAGGCAGACATCCATCATCATGTTTCTTGTCATTATCATTATAAATTTATTATTCCATCTAGAAACTTCATTTTTCTCTAACGCACATCCAACAGTGAGTTGTCATTTAAAACCTTCTTCTCAAAACTTTTTCAACTTATTTGAGCTATATTCAGTACTTCTATCATTGTTTAATGTCTTTAAGTAGTAGTCACTTTATTTTATAACATAAGTTTTAATTTTTTTGAAAATCTTAAATACTTGTGATCGTTCTCACAAGAAAAAGACTCATATATCATTTATATGTAGTCATCAATGAAAATGATCAAGTATCTATTTTGCTCTAGTAATTCAGTACACATTGGTCCACAAATATCAGTGTGTATAAAATCAGGCTCTTTAGCTGTCCATGCTTTGCCTGATGGAAATAATTGTGGATATGTTTATTGAGCAAACATCCTTCCAACATCTTCTTTTGATTTGTTTTATGAGTCAAAATATTTTCCGACACATTTGAATGCTTCTTCAACGATCTTCCATAAATTTTGGGAGCGAAAATAGGTACTCATTTTGATGGACTGAAAGTCATAATTTTTTTCCTTTAACGATTGAAACCGAGATAAATGAGCGGATGAGCTCCATCATTATTGATATATTGAAATTGTATCACACCCAACGAATAATTGAACTAGCTTTGATACCATATGTTGAAAATTTTTGAAGAGAAGATGGAAAAATTTCTTACTAAACTTTGCAAAGTCTTTTTGAGCTTATATCACAACACATGCTTAAGCTTCTATACGAGCATGGGAGAATAAATATGTATACTCTTAAGTTCTCACATTTTTTTCTTGTGAAGCCTATTATAGATTCTTTATAATTATATATTCTAAAGTATTCTTATGTACTACAAATATTTTAGAATCTTCCACTTAATACTAAGTGGAATATTCTAGAATATTAGAGAAACAATCATCTAACATACCAAACATAATATAAAATTTCCAAATATAAAGTGCTTGTTTGTTTCCAAATGTTTTTTGTTTTTTCATTATACAATTTTGGCTGAAATAATGCCAATCTAATTTTTCTAAAATCTAAACAAACTATATATGATCAAATTGTGCCGCGTACCTCGGCCTGTTGGCTGAGATCAATGGTTTAAGACCCCTCAGGTCGGGGGTTCGAATCCTCTTGGCACAGTTGGTCATTTTTTCATCAAGAAAAAATTAATCATATAAAAACAAACCTTTGCCCAGTAAGTACCAAGTGAGGCTAATCTTTTGTGGCCATTTGATTGGTTTCAAGATGCTTGAATAAAAATAAACGTGGAATCGAGTCCTACCGGTGGAAGTCTATTGCCTTTCCTCTTCCGCCATGCAGTTGCTCCCAGACCATTAATCCCGCCACTGCCGGTTATCAGCAGGCCATTGACGTACCTAAAAACAATCCACTCCTTTCGAAAAACCCGAAGATCTGTCGGCGCTACAATCATTCCATTCACCTCCACAACCATTGCGCTCTTGCAAAGCCCCCGAAAACATAGAGGGCCAGTCAAAAACGTTCCTTCAGGTATCAACACCTTAGCCCTCCCTAGCAATCCGCAATCCGTCGTGCATGCTTCATTCCATGCTTTAAGGAAAGCCTGCGTGCTGTCATTTTGGCCGTCGGGGGACGCGCCATAGCTAGTCACGTCAAACACTTTCTCTGTAAAATTATTGCCCCGACAAATGTTTACATGTGCGACGAGGAAGATAATGAAAAGCAGCCAGATGTTGGAATCCATGTTGTCAGATCGCAGCTATGGTTCTTCTTCAGGTCCTCCGACGACCTCTGTTTCCCGTTTTGGTTATTTTCTCATTGCCATGAATTCTTATCTGTTGGATCTTCCATTTTGTGGGCGGTTTTATGTTTGTTGAATGATGGGAAATTGATGGGCGATGCATGGTGCACCGTTTTTAATTTATGTTGTGTTCTAAGTTTGGGCTTTTCGTTGGACTTTATTGGCCAAAATCAGCCACTCCATTTTTTTTTTGTTTTTTTTTCTTGTTAAGAAAAGTTCTAATTTAGGATTTATTAAATGGTGTTCCCGTTGCAGTATATTGAGCCCTTACATTCATTTTACCAGGGCAATTTAACCAATTCTCTATGAGAATTTGAACTGACTTGGAAAACTAGATTATTATGAATCAACTTGCACCACATATAACTCAAATCTTATCAAGAGGCTCCTCGAGTTAAATCTCTTTCAAGTAGCTCGAGTGTTTAGGTAGGCTTTGTCATCGGTATTGTGTTACTAAACAAACATGAGGACTTGAGAAGCACCAATTTACAAATGACTATTCACCTAAGATACTTATGTACTTAACTAAGTGAGATGAGGTACTTGTTAGAAGAACACTCCATTAGTACTAGCCACAAATCTATAGCTAGCCTTATGTTCCCAACTAGCATCTCCCTATAAGCCAAACGTGCCGTTTGTATAACTAGATACATTGAGAAATTGATTCAGTTCATTCATAGTCATAGTTTATGTACAATTTTCTATTATTGACCTTAAACCTCGTTTATAAATAGTGGTCATTAATATTTAAGAGCATGTATGCTTGATATACAAATTATATTCCGGTGAAGATATCTCTCAGATTCTCCTCAAAATACCTCTTTCTTTTTTTATCAACCTATTTATTTCTCTTCTCATTGTATAGGTGAATGGTGGAAAACAATATATATATATATATATAAAGAAAAGAGCTACTTATGGATCCTTACATGTTAATAGAGAAAAGGGAGTATAAAATATGTTGGGAAAAAATAAGTCCCTCCCCAAAAACAAATTAAAGTACCTTAATGCTATATATATATATATATATATATATATAGACCATTACAACAATGAAGATAAGGAATGGGCAAATTATCTCCATGTAAAAGAAAAGCTAGTTGTGCTGGAGGTATAATCCCTACTGAAATCAGCTCTGTATTCCTCTCCATTGCAGCCAAACAGTGAACTGCCAAACAGTGAGCTCGACTATTGCCTTCTCTAAGAATATGTTGAAATTTAATTCTACCATTGTTCAGGAAACACTTAAGTTTATTCAGCCATCTGATAATATGCTAAAGGGGAGCTTCTTCTTTTTGCAATATCCTGATACAAGTGCTGGAATCAGATTCTACAATTAGATTTCTAATGTTGCATTGATGGACAAGGTTTATAGCCCAATAAATGGCTATCATCTCAGTTTCTAGTACATCATAAGCCCAAGATGGAGAAGAATAGTAAGGAATACACTTCCCTTGGAAGTTTCTAAAAATTCCCCCAACACCAGAAAAATCCCTACAAAAACTGCCATTAGTATTGACCTTCAGCCACTCAGATGGAGGAGGGATCCAAAGGACCAAAGTTGGCTTGCAAATCTGCTTAACTTTCTCGATGGAAAACATTGGGAAACTTTTGGTATTTAATAATTTTCGGCGTAAAGGAAGTACAATTAAGCACCACAGACTTGCTCATAGGTTTGATGTTGTCAAACTTAGCTTGATTCCTACACATCCAGATGAACCAGGCAACTATACAAGAAATGATTTTCAAGTTAGCTTCCTGCCAGTCCTTCCAACACCACAGAAATTTATCCCAACTGACTTTCAGAGTATCAATGTTAAGCTGATGCAGCAGCTCAGACCAAATTCTTTGAGAGAAATTGCAAGAGAAAAATAAATGGTCTAAACTCTCTTCTTCAGCATTACACAGGTAGCAGCAGGAAGGCCCCCTTAGCCCTTTCATCTTGAGAATATCATTAATAGGTAGCAAAGATTGACATAGCCTCCAGCAGAAAAAAGACATAGGTGTTAACCACTTTCCCCATATAGCTTTCCCACACAAGACAGGCTGCCATTGGTAGAATTTTTGAAAAATGTAAGCTGAAAGTTTCTGTGAGGGAGCTTGTTTAAAAATGATTTTATCTTTTTGCTCAGGATTGATGGAGGTATTCCTTACCCAATGCTTTTGTTCTTCATTTAAGATGGTATTCAACATGTTTCAATTCCATTGATTATCAGACCAATACTCCTTTACCTTAGTCAGATAATTGGGCTTGGAGTTGGAACAAGACAGTTTCTCCCCATTCCATGTCCATTTATCTAACCAAAAATTATCTAACCAAAAATTGATTTGTAACCAAAAATTGATTTGCCCTTCTCCTAGCTCCCAAATAAATAGATCTTTAGCATGAGATCTGACCTCTAGCAATTTAGTCCATAGCCTAGAATCCCTAAGTTTTTTTTCTAGCCAGGGTAGGATGAAAGACCTGCAGTACTTCCCTTTCATAAAAAGTGCCCATCGACTATCTTGGGCCCTAAACTTAATCCAAAGTTTGCAAATATTTATAAAACTTATTTTTTGGAAATCTTTAAAGCTCAAACCACCAGCATTATGAGGCTTACAAATTTTTTTGCTAAGATAACCAATGAAATTGTTTCTCCTGTCCAGCCCACAAGAATTTATTAAAAATTCTACCCAGCAGAACTTGAGTTTTTTTCTTCATTGTGAACATTTGAAGGACATAATAATAATGGCTATTAAGATGCTTTTGAGGAGAATGATTCTTCCTCCATTGGAGAAGAAGGAATTGGTCCAACATTGAAGCTGTTTCTTAATATGGTCAATAACATCATTAAATTGAGTTTGCTTGGTTCTGCCTTTAATTAATTGAACTCCAAGATAATTGATTGGTAAAGAGGCCAGGATAAAACCAGTGTACTTGTCCAATGCTTAATCTGTGGCTTAATCTGTGGAAGAGTATGCGAGCTAGTAAAAATTTGACATTTCTGTTTGTTAAGACTCATACCTGAAGTCTGTTGGAAATGCTTGAGTCCTTGATAAAGGGTCTTCACAACAGTCTTTATAGCCTTAGAGAAAATAATAACATCATCTGCATAGGACAGGTGACTCACACCAATATTAGATCTGTGTTGATAGGCCAAATAAGGGGAAGAAACAAACATTTGATTTAGGAGCCTTGATAGATAATCCATTGCTAGAATAAAGATTGTGGGGACAAGGGATCTCCTTGTTTGATTCCCCTAGAAGCAATGAAGAAACCATGGTTCTTTCCGTTGACTAAAATAGAATGGTTATTTCATTTGAGCCATCTTCTGATCAGATTGATGAAAGCCCCAAAGAACCCCTAGCAGTTAGAGTATCCAAGATGAAATCCCAATTAATGTTATCATAGGCCTTTTTAATGTCCAATTTAAAAATGATATTCTTGCCTCTACATTTTCTATCAAGATCCAACAAGAGCTCTTGAGCCAGAAAAATGTTTTCAGTGATATTCCTTCCTTTAACAAAAGCCACCTGATTATTACTGATAAGTTGTTGAAGATAAGGTTGGAGCCTAGTGACAATGATCTTGCTGATTACTTTAGATAGAACATTGGTTAGGCTGATAGGTCTAAAATCACCCCAGCCTTTCCTGATTGAATTCTTGGGGATCAAAGTTATAGTGGAAGCAGTGAAGTACCTAGGGGGATCTATCCCCTTGAAGAAATTTTGCACTGCAGCTGTAAACTCACCACAGATGATAGGCCAAGCAGTCTTATAAAAATTAGCAGTGAAGTCATCGGGTCCAACCACCTTTTCGCCATCAATAGAGTCCATAGTAGCTTTAATTTCCCCTTCCAAAGGAATGTTATTCAGTTCCAACTTGTGGACATACTCTTGACAATCAGACAAGAGCTCAGTATTAATCTAGGTTCTAGAGGCTGGCTGATCATTAAAAAGATTTTGAAAGTAATTGAAAAATATTTTGAAAGAAAAGGAAACCATCCTGGGCAATAGCATCAGCATCAGATAAGTAGTGGTCAGTAGAATCAGATATATATATAATCATATTGTTTTTCCTTCTAAAGTTAATACATGCATGGTAAAAGCTAGAGTTTCTATCTCCCTCAATGAATTTGGTAACTACAACCTTGTGTTTCAAAAAAATTTGAGAGTAATTAATCTGCATCAGAAGTCTTTCATTAGCTTTGTGAAGGTTAACTTCAGAGTTTACTCCCCTTTGAAATCCTTTTTCCATATTTAGAACTTGTTTATGAGCTGTAATCAAATTTTCATGTATATTTCCAAATATTTCCAAAAGTATTACATTCCCACTGCTGCAGATGAGCTGCCACTTTCTTTTGAAGTTGCCATAGATTGTCATCACCAGCAGACCTCCATACCTTAGCAATTTCCCCAATAAAATTAGGATGTAGAGTCCACATATTTTGAAATATGAAAGGAGATCTTTTGGGACTTTCAGCATTTTGAATAGAGCAAATAAGAGGTCTTGGTCAGAGCCAGACATGGCAAGATGAGAAACAATAGTAAAATGGAAGGTCTGAAACCATCTAGAATTTCTTAACATTCTATCCAGCCTTTCCCACATGGAACCCCTCCTCCAAGTGAAATCTAGACCTTGGTAACCCAAGTCAAATAAGGCAGCATCAGAAAGAAAGTCATTGAATCTATTCATGGTTGATAATAAAGGGGGTCTTCCACCTCTTCTTTCACCAGGAGATGAAACACAATTAAAATCCCCCCCTCAGAATCTAGAAGGAGTTAACAGATTGCCCAATTTGTATTAAATCAGACCATAAAGTAGTCTGATTATTAGCAATTCTGCTAGCATAGATAAAAGTGGCATATCCAACTTGAGCTCCAATAGAGAATTGAATATGAATGAATTGAGAATGATTTTGCATCACAGCCCACTGAAGTTTAGCTCTAGCAAAGAGCCAAATCTTGTTATTAGCATTAGCAAAATGAGTGAATTTGAGAAATTTTTTTAGAATTTTATGGGAATGCTTAGTGACCATGGGTTCCAAAATAGCAAAACACCAAACTTCTTGAATTCTAACAAGATG